ATGAGTATCAGTGCAAACATTTGATTTTGGTCAACATGAATACCATGGCAAACATTTGATTTTGGTCAACATGAGTAAGAGCATCAATTTTGGATCGTTTCACTAGGAGTACCACAAAAACATTTGATTTTGGTCAACATGAGTAATAGCATCAATATTTAATCGTTTCACTAGAAGTACCACAAAAAACATTTGATTTTGGTCAACATGAGTATGAGTGTAACATTTGATTTTGGTCAACATGAGTAATAGCATCAATATTTAATCGTTTCACTAGGAGTACCACAAAAAATCTTTGATTTTGATCAACATGGATACCAGGACAAAACAGTAACGAGATTGTGGTTACTAGGAGTACCATAACAACATGATTTTTGGGAAAAGAGTTACCACGACAAACATATGATTTTGATTTTTTAAGTGCCCGACAACTTGAAATAAGAAAGAATGCACAATTAAACTACCGTGTTATAAATTCTTACAGTATCAGTTACTGTTATATTTATATCAACTGCTAAAGTAAGAAGTTTGACACACAGTTCTCAAGGGGTATTTAACATGAATTTATAGCAAAACAACTAAAAATTCTCAGTTCTTGTTTAGCATAAAGCTGCACAATGTTCTATTCATCTCGAACCCCGAATTCTAGTGTTATTCTTATTTCTAGTTGATCCATTGGGGAATATCTAGAAATTAGAAATATAGAAATGAAAATCAAAATGTTGGTAAAATACTTTCTTTAAAACGTCAAAAGGCTTAACATGATTTATTTGATTTAGTAACTGAAGCTTGAAAAGTGGATCAACGTATACACTAGGTGATGGTGTGTTTTATAATATATTACGTAATAAACATCACAGGTGTTACAGAATTTTCATGTCATGAATCCTGACATTAATTTTTGTTATTATACTTTTTTCTTATAGATGTCACGTACGTAAAGTGTTTTTTTACTGACAAAAATTGTTTAGCATTAAGTTCTGTATTAAAAGTATAGCTTATATCCTAATATTAAGCAGGCTAACAACTTTAACACCTATATAAACATTTAGAAGTAAAAAAGTTTCAATAATAGCGTTACCGACTGGTCTTCATTATCAGGTCCTTCATTCCGCAACTTCACAGCAGTCAAATAACTCCTTTTACAATATCATTTATCAACGTAATAAAAAGTTTATATAAATAATATTCTTAACTTTGTACTCTTCTTGTAACTATCTAAGAATATATAAAAATGGATAATCTATTTGACAATAGATAAACTGGTTTTAACTCTGACTATCTGAATCATCAGGAAGTTCTGCCTGTAAAATACATTCTTTGTTACTCCTGAAAGTATTGTCATGGTGGATCTCCAACATTACTTATCAGAAAGTAATAATTCATATGAATGTTGTAAAAACTAACAGCTTCATAAGCACACATTAAGTAACCAGGAACAAACACAAATTTACAAAAATATGAAGATGATTATGCCGACTAGTTTCAGCTTACCACGTACGTCATTTTCAAGGGTATACTGCGTGTACGTGGTAAGCTGAAACTAGTCGGGATAATCATCTTCATATTTTTGTAAATTTGTGCTTGTTCTTCGTTACTTAATTTGTGTTATAAAGCCGTTAATTTTTACAACGTTTGTAGATAGCACAAAGTACTACTTGATAATTCATATGAAGTTATATTCGTAAACTTGCAGGAGCTGGAGAATCTGGAAAAACCACCATTTTGAAACAGATGAGAATTCTACATCTTCAAGGATTCTCAGAAAAGTAAGTATAAGTATAAGTAAGTATAAGAGTAAGTATAAGTAAGTATAAGTATAAGTAAGTATAAGTATAAGTATAAGAGAAAGTATAAGTATAAGTAAGTATAAGTATAAGTAAGTATAAGAGTAAGTATAAGTAAGTATAAGAGTAAGTATAAGTATAAGTAAGTATAAGAGTAAGTATAAGTATAAGTAAGTATAAGTATAAGTAAGTATAAGAGTAAGTATAAGTAAGTATAAGAGTAAGTATAAGTATAAGTAAGTATAAGAGTAAGTATAAGTATAAGTAAGTATAAGAGTAAGTATAAGTATAAGTAAGTATAAGAGTAAGTATAAGTATAAGTAAGTATAAGAGTAAGTATAAGTATAAGTAAGTATAAGAGTAAGTATAAATTGCTTTACGAGGCTCCTTTTTTAAGCATTTTAATGTGCTATGCTCTCTCTCTCTCTCATACACGTGTACTTTCATAGAGGTTGATATGTGAACATATTTCCAAAATTGAGATTTAACATCATTCTGGGAAGTTCATCTTATCAGTAATTAATAAATGATACTTTAAAACACGTTATGTAAGAAATTGTTTTAAAATTTGGATCCGACATTTTTAGTATCGAAAAACGAGACTCCGTAAAATAATATTAAGACAACACTCATACGCTTCATTCAAAATGACTTGAGTATTCATTATAATATTTTACGTGTCATGCTTAGACGCTAATTTCTGCTAAATTTTAAATGTCAAATGCTGGGTGAACGTAAAATATTTTTAATATAAAATTTATTCTCCACTTCCAAAAAATAGTCCATTATTTATTACTAATTACATTTTCAATAATAATAAAAAATTCAAAATAGTCCATTATTCATTACTAATTACATTTTCAATAATAATAAAAAATTCAAAAATAGTCCATTATTTATTACTAATTACATTTTCAATAATAATAAAAAATCAAAAATAGTCCATTATTTATTATTAATTACATTTTCAATAATAATAAAAAAGACTTTTTTTGTCTTGAACTGAGACACAGTTTAGAACAACATTCTACTTTGTTTCGTTACACGTACGGAGAAAGTTATACACAGTTATACAAATACAAGACTTGAAAAAAGAAGTTCGTCCAAAAATTTTATGTCCCCTGTAGCTCAGCGGAAAGTCTGCAGGCTTACGACGCTAAAAACCGGGGTGGGCTGAGCACAGATAACTCATTGTGCAGGTTTGTGTTAAACAACAACTATACCATTTTATTCTCAACTTTATAATGTGACACTCTCTAAGAAAGTTTTGCCCACCTGTGGCACAGCGATAATTTTGAAGTAACGCTAAAAACCGGGTTTCGATACCCGTGGTGGGCACAGCACAGGTAGCCCATTGTTCAGGCTTGCACTTAACTACAAGTATACAAATTTATCGCCAAGTTTATAGATACAACACTCTCTAAGAAAGTTTTGCCACCAAATGGAACAGCGGTAATTCTGGAAGGTTATAATGCTAAAAACCGGGTTTCAATGGCAATGGTGGGCACAGTACAAATAGCCCATTGTGTAGCTTTCTGCATAACAACAAACAAACCCAAAACTTTATATCTACTATCAAGAATTTGTTCTGATATGGGGACTAGCCACTCATTTTAAAGCAATCACTCGTTAAAATATTAGAATAAATGACGTTGAACTAGGTATCTATTTCGGCATGTTTGTTTGTCTGTAATTTCTCACTGTTTCTTTTCAGGGAAAGTGAGTTTCCCTGAAATATCTACTTTGTAACCATAAAAAAAAAAAATCAGTGTGTTTACCTTAGATCGAAATTGTTCAAAATAAAACAAAAACTGACGTCATGCTTTGATGATTCACATTCGCGCCCTTCCGCCAGTGGTCACGTGAAAAATAGGTACATATAACTCATTCTAGATAGCAGAACGTCATAACTGATAATATACAGGGGTGGCCGTTTTACCGAACCAAACCATCTAATCTAAATTTCCCCAACATATTAATCTAATCCTCGATATTATATACGTTCACTGTGGTGATTAAAAGTGTCACACGTTCGTTTGTGCTACATTAAAACATATTTTACTTTGGAAGATATAAAATTATAAAAAGAAATCAAAACTTAATTGCACTTTGTATCTTAGAACAAAAAAAGTATGACCTTACAGTAAAACTGACTAAAGTTATGTAAATCTGAAAAAGTTTGATACCATTCTCAACAATAGATATCTCTGACTAATTTTCAAGATATACATATTGTTGCGTCAGCGAGTCACATGACTAGTGTGACGCCACGTTT